AAAAGAAAACAGTTTATTTCAAATAAATTTTATAAAAAATAACCGACGGAAAATAAAAAAAAAAACATAAACAACACATAGAAAAATAAAAAACAACACTAATTTTAACTTATCTTACTTAATTAAGGTGTTCAAAATGAGTTCCCAAAACTTCTATGCATATTTGAAAGCGTTTATTGAAATAGTAGCTTGTAGCTTACATTACTAAGCATTTGTAAAGAAATATTTTGAAATACAATTCGGATTCTAATTTTCATATCATCCCTTGTTGTTGGAGGTATTTTATATACTTCGTTCTTAACGTAACCCCAACATTTTATTGAATTCTGGTGGCCTTGGGGGGCCACCTTACCGGTACATCCCTTCCGATCCATCTTTCACCAAACTGGTCATTAAGTTCACTACGTACTAATTCGTTGTGGTAATAATATCGGTAACTGATTTACGATTAAAGATGAAACTTAGCTGACTGAATGCCTCTTTCATGTATTTCTACACTTGCAGGATTAAGAGGGATAGCGAACTTAAAAGTGATTTGGTTTTGAGCTGCGAATTCTGGATGTTGTGTGGTCTTCATTCATAAAAAATTTATGAATGATAGAATTCATGGAGCTCGTTTTTTGCCCCATAAAAATTAGTTGCATTATCAGACCAGATACATGATAGGACTGACCTTCGTGCTATAAATCTTTTTAGTGCCAAAATATAGGCCTGACTAGTGAGGCCGGTTACGCGCTCAAGATGGCAACACTTAGTGGTGGTGCAAATGAAAAATGCTACATACGCTTTATAGAAAGGAGATCTACGGAGGTAAGATGATTTCAACGTAAAATGTCCAGCATAGTCAGTCCACTAAGACAAGTGAAGTTGAAAGGGTCTTGTGCCTGAAACACGATTATAGTGAAGATCAGACATAAACTGGGTGACTGGTTTTGCTTTAAACCTGTGGGATACCACGCAGTTGTGAATTACTTGTTTTATTCGAGTTAAACCCGACAAAGAACATGAAGAATGTCCTTAAAATGAGAGAGTGTATTGCGGAGATTGCTGGTTACAAAATATGAGAGCTCTTACCTGTAATATAAGAATGTCTTAAACACCAACGGCTCAAAAAGCTATCCAAAGGTACAGAACGATGTATTAAAGAGCAAAAGAGAGAAAAACAAATAGCATAAATAAAATCAGTACAAATACATAAAGAACTAAACAAAATTCCTACTATGTATTAAATACTACTTACTATTTAAGTCTTTCAAAAAATGTTTATGTGCGCTATTGCCCATCTGGGTCACTATTACAAAGATGTTGAATTTATAGATATGGAGATGTGGCAACCATGTGTGTTTAGGGCTACCACGAGAACTATTTGAAAACTTCAAACACTTTCAACATTCAACATAAAACAAATTTATACAAAAAGGGCACTACTGTATTGTAATTAAATGCTGTATACCAAAAGCGGGACAAATCTTTGACAGATTTGGAGAGCACTGTATAACTTTGTGAGGAGTAAATCCTTGACGGATTTTTGAGGACTTCTGCCAAACAGAGATGTTGCTTCGTCCCCGTCTAAATTCGCTCTGGAAGCTCTACTTTTAGAAGAGTTTTAAGTGCACAAAAACTTTAAAATACTAAAAACTGTTAACAATGTTTTTTTACAGATGTTTGACAATGAGATTTATATCTTTTTTTAGAGAGAATGCACTTTTGTCAAAAGTGGAGTTAAATACTAAATTAAAAATATTAATAAATAGTTTTACATGTTAGAATGGATTTATTCGAACAATAATTTTCAGGTAATATTGGTTATAACTTTTTAAATACCCGGTATAACATAATAAAACTTTACATTGTTGTGATGTGGAAGTGAAGCAGATTTCAAATTCAAAATAAAATACAGGATGTTCCGTTTAAAAAAACGTAAGTTTGGCCTACCACCATCTTATGGAACACCCTGTAAGATTGTAACTAATTTTAAAATATGGAGTTTAAAGCTGCCTACAATTTTTGTCAATAACTTTTTTTTGTTATTTTTACTATAACAGATCTATTGAGCTTCGTCACACTAATCAATCACCCTGTATATAAATTAATCAGCAATAATTTGACCGAACTTATATATATATATATATATATATATATATATATATATATATATATATATATATATATATATATATATATATATATATATATATATATATATATATATATATATATATATATATATATATATATATATATATATAATATATATATATATAATATATATATATATATATATATATATATGTATAACAAGCGAGTCTTCTACAGCTGGCGCCGCTTCTCGCATCCTAATTTCCAGCGTTTTCTGTCGAAGCAATCTTCAGTTGTTAGATCTCTGGCGGTCATTGCATCGTCGACATCGTCTCTCCAGGATCGTCTTGGTCTACCTCGTTTTCTTCTAGTTGGCGGAGTCAATTCTTCTATTTTTTTTGGCCATCTATTTTCCGGCATTCTCTGAAGGTGTCCTTACCAGTTAAGTCTTTTGGCTTCGATTGTGTCTATTATGTCAAGATCGATTTCCATTTCTCTCCGAATATCTTCGTTTCTCACCCTATCTAGTCTAGTGAGCTGGCAACATCGTCTCCAGTAGTTCATTTCCATGGCCTTAATTTTTGATTTGTTTCTTTGGTTTATTTCCCAGAGTTCGGCGCCATACAGTCCAATACTTTCTATTATTGTTTTATAAATTCTTCTTTTATTTTCTTTTGTTATTTTTTTATTCCATAACAGTCCGTGTAGCTGTCTGGTGGCTGATCTTGCTTGGCCAATCCTGGAATGTATTTCTTCGCTACTTCCTGCTTTTGATGTTATTTGGACTCCCAAGTACTTAAAATTGTCTGTTGGTTTTATAGTTCCCATTTCTATTTGTAGGCTTTTTGGTTGTTCTCCTACAACTAAGTACTCAGTTTTTTGTATATTAATTGTGAGGCCCCATTTGGTGTACTCATCTTCCAGTTTTCTAAGCATGTAGCTTATATCACTCTCGTCTTCAGCTAGAATGGCTTGGTCATCAGCGAAATGTATCGTGTACAATCTATCATCTCCGATTGGGATGCCCATATTGCAGCACTTTCTTCTCCACAGTGAGAGTGCCTCATTTAGATATATTTTGAAGAGTGTAGGTGCTATGCAGCAGCCTTGCTTTAGGCCCTTACTAATAGGAATTTCTCTAGTTAATCTATTTCCAGTTTTAATGTTTGCCGTCATATTTTTGTAGAGCTGTTGTACTGCTCGTATATTTTTTTTGCTTATTCCTTGTTTTTCCATTGCTACCCAAAGCATTGAAAGTGGTACACTATCGTATGCCTTTGTCAGATCTATAAAGACTATATGAGTTGAAAGGTTGTGGGCTAATCTTTTTCGATAACTTGCTTTAGAGAGAATATACTGTCCATGCAGGATCTGCCTGCACGAAAGCCATTCTGTTCTTCTACATCTGTCATCTCTTTTTCAATTTTATTTTTTATTATTTTTCCATACAGTCTTGAGAGTGAATTTATGACACTTAGCCCCCTATAGTTTGAACAATTCTTTCTATCTCCTTTTTTGTATATGTTGTTAATATGTGCTTTTGTCCACTCCGGTGGTAAGTCGTGTCCATTATAGAATAAGGTGAAGACATACGCCAGTAATTCCCGTAATACTTGTGGGCTATGTTTTAATAATTCATTTGGTATACCTTGTGGTCCGCATGACTTCCCATTTTTTAGAGTTCGTATTGCATTCTCGACTTCCTGTACTGTTATTTCATCGTCTTCACTGAATTCCAGTTCATATGTTGTTGTACTGATGTTCGATTTGACCGAACTTATAATATGAATAGTCCTTTATCTAGTAGTATGGAAATGTTATAAATCACTTACAACGAGATTTAGTGTCTGCTTGTAAAACTCTCGGCTTTTGGGTCGAATAAAAGAAAACAACAAAATGTACTTACAGGTTCATATTGGTCCTTGTCTGAGAGGTATGTTTTCAGGTAAGGAGGCAGTAGTTGTTGTGGACTGGCGCTAATAAACCATTCAGCGGTTGTATCACAGAAACACGCACAGCGTCATAGGTAATACAGCGGCAGGATGATATCTAGTGAACTCAATGGTCAGACATATGCAGCAGTAGGATGTATGATGTAAGATGCAATATGCAACTTACAATATTCTGGATACAAGATACGATATGCGAAGTAGGATGCATGAGGTATGACGGCAAACAGAAGTGACATCAAGTCTATAATTAATAAAAAATGTCAAAATTAGCTGGACAATTACAAGACATAATCTGAATAAACGACTTACCGCCAAGTTGACCTGCTTAACTCGAAAGACAAAAATAAAGTAATAGTTTTCGAAATATGTATGAGAACTTAAATTTTCTCTAAAGAGGGGATTTTTTTGGCTCATGCGAGATTAGCCCTAATTATACTTTAGAATTGAGGAGCGACTCGGGTGAAAGGGTCTTCCTTGATTTTAGGAGGTTTTTTAAGAGGCGAGACAATTATACCTCTTCTTAGAAGTGAAGGGTTAGTGGATAGATAATATATACAAGCTTTTGACTTGTTTCTGAGAAAGGAAAGGATCGTAAGAGAACCATGAATTGGCGTCGATATGAAAATTAAAAAGCGTAGCATAATTCTTCTAAGGATTTATTAGCCGTGGGCGTAGCTAAAAAATTTTGTGAGGGCAAAAATTTGGAAGAATTTACGGGATGATTGAACATGCTTCACATGTCCAAGCTGTGGTTCAGGATTTAATTTAGTACCGAAGGTGAGTATTTGCTGAAGAACGGGAGTTAACTTTATTTTGGGTAATTCATCTTCGAAGTTACTGTAGGTTTCACCAGAACAAGAGCACTGCAGAGCATGTGCTGTTTGTGACTGTAAAAATGTCTGAACATCCTAATTTGAATCCAATATATCTCCCACTGAGGAGGTATTTCAATGAAACAACCTATTTTTTACAAATATATTTTGAAAAAAAAATTAACACAATAACAGATTTTTCATCGAAAATAATATAATATAATACCGGTCATAACAAAAAAAAAAGTTCTCAACTAATATAAATTACATTACACAAAGACCAATTGCAGAAGCAATTGATAGAGCAAGCATTATATATCCAGTAGTATATACTTCACCAATAGTGAGGAACTTTCCAGTATCCCATAAAAGATGACGAATACCATTCCAGAAATGATAAGTCATGGGAAAAGCTAACACAAACTTCGCTGCAGCGATGGTTGCTGCCCCTAAGTCTGCGCATTCGATAGCGTCAATATATGCTGGAATTGATTCAGGTGCTACAGCAGCTGTCAGACCAAAGGCAATTGCATAAAACGACAATGCCATACCTAAAAGTCAGAAAAAAAATATTATTGTTAATTTTTGTCAATATTAATAATTGTTTTTATACAAAAATGTAGATATGGTTAAAAAAATTGACACATTAAGAATATTATAAAATACAGTACATATATATTGTTGCATATGGTCGCATAGTACTTAGTATAACTTGTTTATATTATTTGAGTATAAATTATTAAAAATAGGGTGTTTAAACAAGACAGTCTTAAACAAATAGGCGCAGTTTTTTTTTTTCTATAAAGAAATATACGAACAAGATAGAGAATCAATTCTAGCACAATACACTAGGTTGCAGCAATTAGGAGACAAGACACGTGATCCTGATGCATGAGAACAGAATTCAAAGGAACTTGATAAATGCAAGAATATAAGGAAAAGGCCTGTTGGATGAACAAAAAAGAGATGGGAGGGCAAAGTAGATCAAGATGCCAAAAAACTGCTAAAAATATGTTCATGGAAAAGAACAGCAGTAAATTGAGATATTTGGAGTAGCTTATTGAAGGAGGCCAAGGCTCGAGTTTATTTATTTATTTATTCATTCCAACGGTAGAACCATTTACAATAAAATACAAAAAATAGTAAAAAGTAAAGATCATGTACAATAAACATCAAAACAATAACAAAGAAACAAGTAAACAGTTAAAATTTGTACATTAAAACAATATATCATATCACAAAAATTTTAAAAAAGTATCAGTATCACATAGTAAGTATCACATATCTAGATTAATAGTCAGATTCTTAAGTTGCCTTTTAAAAGCATTAATGTTTATGCAGAAAGGATCCAATAGGAGGTCATTGCAAGAGCTGAGCATTCTTGACAGGGGAAAATGACGAGCATAATCAGTCCTATGAAAAGGAATATGAAAGAGTGCAGTGTGTCGAGTTATATGCATTGTGTTTAAGTGTACATTGGCCAATAACGACGGACATTTAATAACATTGTTCAGAATTTTAAACAAAAATAACATATCAGCTCTCAACCTGCGGTTCTTCAATGTATCAATGTTAAAATGAGACATTATTATAGAATAATCTATGAAATAATTTTCAGTATTTTTTATATTAATATGGGCTTTAAAAGCTAAAGATCTTAGAAACTTCCTCTGAACGCTCTCCAATACATCAATGTATACTTGATGAAACGGGGACCAGACAACAGAGCAGTATTCAAGACCTGAACGTACCAGAGAGCAATACAATAATTTAAATACAATAGGTGAGAGATCATGACTGTTGCGATAAATAAAACCAAGATTACGAAATCCTGTTTCCTTAATTTTAAGAAAATGGCTTCTAAATGTCAATGCACAATCCAATAATACACCCAAATCTCTAATCTCAGTAACTGAATCCAAGAGTACATCATTAAGAATATATCTATTAGCCATTAGATTATTTATACAACCAAAGGAAATACAAGAACATTTAGTTGGATTTAAGCTTAAACCATTTTGTTTTGACCATAAACATATGTTGTTTGCATCATCTTGCAGGAGATCTCTATCCAATTTATTATGTATACAGCGAAATATCTTAAGATCATCAGCAAATAGCAGGAAGTGTGAGTTTTTGATAGCCTTAACAATATCGTTAATGAACAAGTTAAAAAACAAGGGACCACAATGAGACCCTTGTAGTACACCAGAATAACAATGAAATTCTTTTGAAATATAATTGTTAATACGAACTTGCTGTGTACATCCCATCAGAAAACTTTTAATCCAATTAACAATGGGGTCACCAAAGCCAGATGCATGAAGTTTGTAGACCAAAAGATTATGATTAACCTGGTCAAAGGCCTTTGAGAAATCAGTGTAAACGCTGTCAACCTGAATTTTATTCTCAAATGCACCCAACAAGTATTGTTGGTAATTGAGAAGGTTTGTTACAGTTGATTTCCCATTAGAAAAACCATATTGTTCATCAATAATTATGTTTCTGCAAGCCCAGGTGAGATTTATCGATACCAATTTATCAAGAAGTTTCGGGGTTGCTGATTGAATAGTTATACCTCTATAATTGTTAACACACTCGCGATTGCCAGATTTATAGATAGGTGTAAGAAAACTATTTTTCCAAGATTGTGGAAATACAGATGACAACGATAAATCGAAAATTTGTTGTAAAGGTTTACAAAGGGAAAAAATACAGTTCTTAATAAGTGCTGCAGGTATACCATCAGGCCCTGAAGAATATGTAGTTTTTAAACTGCTAATCCCCTCAAAAACATCAGTCAGACTAAACTTCAGACTATGGAAATCCACATTATAGTCCAATTTAAAATTAGGTACATTACACTCACTATCATTATATGCACCTGAAAAATAGCTGGCAAATAAATTGACTATTTCATCACCATTCTGAGCTATTACATCCCCACCTTATTGCTAAAAAATACTAAAATCTAATAGTGAAACGTGTTACTCATCATTGTCGCTTAGGTTCACCATTATCGGCTTTGTGACTTCAAATCTCATGAGAGTACGGTCAGTTAGTTCGTGTTAAAACTAATTTGAATGGAGAGTAATGCATTTGTTGCCCGTTGGCCGACGCCACTGAGTAAAGATAGTCTCGCGTAAGCAGTGTAGAAATGTAAGTGATACACCCATTTCAAATCGCAGTGTGCTTGAACTGCTAAAACAGCCTTAAGCAAACATTAAGACACGCACCAGTATCTAGTATCATTGACTATTCATAATTTTGTTGATATTTGTAATTTATAAATTTGATCTTTGTCTCTTAGTAGATTGTGAAATTAGTCAATTTTTGTCTATTACCTAATCTTTTTTTGAGTTATGAATTCTGACTACCTATACAAATACATATTTTTCTTGTAAATAATACTAAACTTATTTAATTAATTTTTTTATTATGTTTATGGAAAATGGTTAATTTATTATGGTGCATCATATGATGGAAAACTTACATAAACGATTCTTCCTAAATTTGATTTAAAATGTTTTTTAATGAAGTTACATTAAGATTATTACTTAAGTAAACTAAGATAAAATAAAAATATAATTCTACAAATATTAAAATAAAATATTATTTAAGGAATTTAAAGTATCCCAATGAAAAAATATTAAATATTTACCTGTAGCTCTGTGAGTAATAGACAACAGACTAGTTAATTGGGGAGCATATATGGTCAAATGGGGAGACTGAGGCCTTCCCAATTTCATGTTACGTTCATCGTGTCCTTCCTCTTTTGGGCTTGAGACGTTAGTGGCTTTCAATGTTACAGGTCGTACACAGGTAATTATTCCACTATTATTTTTCAAAAATTGGGGACCACATCTTTGACCAGCTAACCTATATGTTATATAATCTATTATTAATACGAATTTCAAAATAAATTTTACAATATAATTTGCTAATTATACCATACCTGAATATTAGAGACATTTTTAATATTGTATAATATAGTTTTTGGATAATAAAAAGTAATTAAACTTCTGACATAATACAAATGTCAAAATGTCTATCACCTAGAAATCATTGGAAATTTTCAACCAATCAGAAATGCTTTTCTGACCGAACAGAGTTGTCAGATTTTCAAAGAGATGTCAAAAGTGCTAAGATCCAACTTTTATTTCTAGATTGTATTTATTAGATGTTATTTATTGGAAGGATAAAAACAAAAATTATTATTAATGCGTACAATGATTGTACCCTATGATTTAATTTTTTATCATTTCTACTTAGATTTCCCTTCTACTTATAGAAAATGCGATTATAATTTGTAAAGGTGCATTATATTATTGTGTGCATATTATATTAAATAATAAAACATACATAATATAAAATTGAATTTACCAGTTACTTTATCACAAATTAAATGTGAGACGTATTTTTCAAAAAATATTTAAACTTGAAACACAAAAATAACTGTCAGTTATGGATGAACACGAAAGGGGATATTATATCCAGGCAAAGGTTTTAAACTATGAAATAAAACTTTTAAAAATCATTTAATATTTAATTTAAATTTTTCTCATGGTATTTTGGCATTTGGTATTAAAAGTTTTATTTATCAATTTTACCTTATGAGTTTAGACATTAACTTGACTTGACTGTTGTCAACAGTTTTAAACAGCCAATCCCAGCTATTATTTTGATCAGAGGTTTTATGGTTTTAAGCGTCATTTCACGGCGTCGCTTGCTTTTAACAGAGAAGTTCAGTAGAAAGTATTGTGATTGTGAGTAACGGAATTTTATTACAAAGTAAAAGGTTAGTAAATTGATGTTCTCTTTAATGAATGTTGCGTTGGTAAATTTATTTGCATTTGAAAATATTCTATTTTCACTCTTAAACCCATATAACCTCATCTAAAGCCTCGTTGTTTACATCACAAAACGTTTTAAATATTTTAAAATCTTTTGGTTTTAGAATGACGAGCAAAGGAAAATCTAGTTCTAAAGTTGCATCAGATAAAGTGAAAACGGAATCTACCACTCAAAGCAGTGGAACTCGTAAGATGAGTCCGGCAAGAACGCCGAAAAGTCCTGGAAGAACAAAAAGTCCTGCTAGACCGAAAAGTCCAGTAAGACCAAAAAGTCCAGTCAGAAGGAAGAGTCCAGGCAGACCAAGAAGTCCTGCAAGAACAAAAAGTCCAGCTAGACAAAAAAGTCCAAATAGAACAAGTCCCGCCAGAACTAAATCTGAGACTAAGACAAGACTTCCTACTCCTACCAGAACTGAAAGGGTAAAAAGCCCATCTAGAGTTAAAAATGCGACTGCTGCCCCAAAAACATCTACTCCTATTCCGCTTGTATCAAAGAGATCTCCAATTAGAAGTACTAATGAGTTGCTTACTGATAAAGAAAAAGGTAATTTTTTGGTTATAAATTGCAAATTTACAAGAAAGGGGAATGTCATTAAAATTTTGAAAACATGGGTTAGGAACTTTTAATAAGTTGAAAACTTGTTTTCTTATAATTTGTACTTTCAGTTGACACTAAAATTGAGACATTTTTGTCAATCTCTTTTGCAACTCATTCTCTGTCCTCTGGTAGATTTAGCTAACAAAATAATCAAGTTTAAGAAAATTACATTGAATTCACCTTTTAATATTCAACTATTTAAGAATTATAGATCATTTTTAGGGAATTACAGATTTTCAAAAATATTCAGAAATCAATTTCCAATAAGTTTTTATTCACAATTACTACTGCGTGAATCTCATGATTTTTCATATAAATCAACAAAAAGATTGAAAAGTTAACACAAATTTTCTGCTGTATCATTTTTGTCATCAATGAAAGACAAAATGAAAAAGGTATATGAGTAAAAAAAGTTACTGGTCATCTAAGGCCAACTCAAAATTATTGTCTTAAGACATTAATGACATAAATGAATACATTTTTTTCTTTTAAAATCCTAACATTTATTTCATTGTTGCTAATTAAAGTTTATTAATTTATCTTTTTTTATAAACCTTGCAATTGATTAAATTACAGTAACAGACTTTCTATTTTTGTCATAACACCATGTAACCTATTTTAGAGATACAACCTAAGAAACAAAAAATTATTGTTGATACTGACACTGATTCTGACAATGCAGACAGTATCCAAGAAATTAAGGAAAAACCAAAAGCTACTGTTCGAGGGCGAACTAGGAATACAGATATTGAAGATAAAGATATTGAAGTAAGTTACAAGGTATAATTATTGTTTACTTGTTCTAAATATTATTATTTCTAGGACTTGAAGAAAATTAGTGGTGCAGAACCTATAGATGCAGTTGGTCTTAAGCGAAGGTTTACACGCTCTTCTCAAAATAAAGATATTGAGAGAATAGTTCATCTAAAACACTTTGACTCAGTCACCATTACAAAACGTCTAGGTGAATTTTCTGATGATGATGAACTAATTGAGAAAAAGTCCCAAAAAGAAATTGATGAATATGTTGGAAACAAACAATTTGTTGAATTTGGTGGTATATATGGTGCCTTATTATTGATTCCATTAATACCTTTGTCTGTAATAACTCTGTATACTTTTTGTACAGAATCTCGTTGTTCCTTTTTGGGTCAACCAAGCTTACAGCATTTAAGATTGTATTCTACATTCTTTGACGCTAAATCCTTATTGGGTATTGCTGGCTATTTTCTTGTACTTGCTCTCTTAAGTGCTATTCCTGCAGGAGGTGCCAAAGTTAGTGGCCTTCCCAACAAATACAGTAAATTTGATTATGTATTAAATGGATTACTGAATTTCTTAATATTGTTCTTTATATTTCTGGGATTACAATTTAAAAAAATTGATGTAGCATCCTACATTGTTGATCATCTGTTCCAATTTTTGATTGGTTTTATTTCATTAGGAATCATAACATCAGTTTTTACATATGTTAGGAGCTTTTATGTACCAATTAGTGCTCTCAATAAATTTGCTGTTGGGAAGAGCCGGATGTATGGATTTTTCATTGGCAGGGAATTGAATCCACGATTATTTTCAGTAGTTGATTTGAAGCTGCTGTTTTTTAGAGCATCTCTTATAGCTACAGTAAGTATTTTTAAATTAATATTTTAAACATTTATGTTTTGTCTTGTTAATAAAAGAACAACAAAAAAAGCTTTTTTAAGATAAAAGTTAATTAATTATTGGAAGCATAGCTTTCTTATCATGGGCTATCACAATAAAATAGAATTAAAATAATATAAAATGATACAATCAAATTGAATAGGATTGAATTAAATTAAAAACCATAGACAATGAGAAAAATATGCTTCCCCTCCTCAGTCTCTCTTGGAGTGCCACATCCATTTTTTAGATAATTTCCACTTAGATTGTTTGCATGAATTTAAACTTTAATGTCAAAAGCACTTTTATTCTTTAAAAACATCTGTAGGATTTTTCCTTGTTCTGCTGTCTTTTTCTCTATTTTCTGAACAAACAAACAAAACATTGTGAAGTGGTCTATTTGAGAATTATTTTTATTGAATTTTACTTGTCTTCAAAAAATGTAACAGTTGATTTCAGTTACCTGTTGAACTAAGGTCCATGTTAACATTAATTATCACAAAAAATGAAGTTTACAAGTAGACTAGGGCTAATAAATTTGCATAACAAAGATGCATATTACAACAAATTACGCAATAAAATAATTCAAAGTATAAACATAATTATATTAACCCTAGAACCAAAAGGTGAAATTGGTGGAATGATTTTCACAAGGTGGGGTCACTGATAACCCGAAAATATTTTCAAAAAGACATTTAAATATTTTTTAAACTTATTTGTCAAAACATTTACTAAATAATTTGATTTCTAATCAGAAAATGTATTAGTAGATAACAATAAACAAAACTAATATAAAGAGTGAGTCAAAATATAATAGCACTTTTTTTTTTTTTTCGTCAGAATGTATCAGTCCGTACAAAACCATTGTGTTTACTCTACCTCCGTCTAACATTCCATAAAAAACTCTCAGTGACCATCTTCTTGTTTTCCTGCAAAGGTTTTTGCATGACACAGTTGATCAAAGGTATCAACGCCCCCTTTAGTGCTGTTGTAGAATAGAATTATTTCTGTTTTTTTTTTGTAACTACATCAACTTTATCTAACGAGTGCATAGAACTGATTAATAGAACGCATTTCTTTCATTTTGGAATATGTGATACTAGTGTCAACTTTTGCATAAATGCAAATGCTGAGGACGGAATTTCTGATCGCTTCATTTCCAAATATTGTGTAGGTATTTCTCTTTTATTTTTTCTAAGCGTTCCATACCATTATCAGCTGTTATTGTTAAACCCTTTTCTAATAATTGTTTGGCTAATTCACATGACGAAAACCAGTTATGGTGATATTGCGATTGGTGCCCTGAATTTTCTCAGTTAGCTTTAAAACATACTGGATAGGAATTTAACCTTTCTGCGGATATCACTGCTCTTTACCAATATATGGCTCAACAGAACACATAGCTTGTTTTTGTTGTTTTTTATACTTATTAAGCTTGCTGGGAATGTACATTTTAAAAGGGCACTTGCCTCTAAAGCCCAGCAGTTGCTTGTCTATTGTTAGATACTCTGAGGGAGTATAATTGTTTTGACATCCTTGAATAAATATATCCCATATTTCTCTGATTGGTGCAAACTTGTTCTGCAATACTCAGCACAGGATATCTATGTTTTTGGTGATTAGTCTTCCCAATTCATCAAGGGAGAATGATGAGTTTGGTGTATAGGTGCATTGTCTTGCAGGTGATCCAGCTGTGAATATTACTCAAGCCTTTGGTTTTTTAAAATTGTATCAACATATTAATATTCCCAATAATCGTAATGTATTTTTGGATTTAGTTTTTTCTAATGTTAGGGAGCTAAATTTCTTAAAAGCAAGTGATCCCCTTGTAGATCCTAGCATCCATCATGTGTGTTATGAATGTTGCTTAAACCTTGATGTTAAAGAAACAAATAAAAATAGTTGGTTTATGATGAGTTGTTTTATGATTTTCGGAATGACGATTATATTGTGCTTAACAACTTCCTTGCTTCCATAGACTGGCAGGTATGTATGGTTAATGATGTTGAAGTTGCTACAAAAATATTGTATGAAGTTCTCTCCATAGGAATTGCTTACTTTGTGCCATTGAAGAAAAATAGAACTTCTCAACTTCTCCCAAGTGGTTCTCTGCTGATCTTAGAAGACTGACTCTGGAGAAAAAATATGCTCACTATATTTATGTTAATAATTGTACTGATGATAACTATATTAGATTTTCCCACCTAAGAGCTGAATGTAAACTGTCTGAAATTTGCTTCAGAAACTATATTAAAGGTATAGATAGTTCCTAAGAAATGATCCAAAATCATTTTGGAAGTACATCAATGATAAGCAGTCTAGTCATAACCTACCTAACTCCTTATTTTATCAAGTCTGATCTGCAACAAATGGTCAAGACATACCTAATTTATTTATGAACTTCTTCCAAACTATGTATTCACCAAATAACAACCTTTACATACCTATCCATCCATTAAATAGCAACTTTAGTACAAATATTTGTCCTTCTAAGATTATCATGACTGATATTTTTAATGGCATAAACGAGCTGCCCAATAAGCTTACTGCTGGTCCAGATAGTGTCAAGATGATGGACTCTTTGTAATACCATTTGTTATATTGTTTAATAGATATCTGGAAATCTCTGTGTTTCCTTCTTCATGGAAAGAAAGGTATGTTGTTCCTATATTTAAAAATATTGAAAATTATAATAGCATTTGTATATAATCTGCATTCCCTAAGCTTTTCAATAGTCTTTCAACTTGGTTATGTAAAGGCTTAATATCTCAATCACAACATGGTTTTCATAGCAAAAATCCGCTGCAACAAATTTGGTTTGCTATCAATCTAATATATTATCTCATTTGGAAGGCCATAAATAGGTAGATGCAATATACTCAGATTTTTCCAAAGCATTTGATCGTGTAGATCACCAAATAATTTTTTTGGTGTTTTTTTTTTATAATCCAAGGTGAAGATGAAGATATATATTTATATTGGTATAAGGGGTATATCAGTCAAAAAGTTCATATATCCAGGGACATCTGTTAACCCCAATAATAACAAATCTGAGGAAATAAAAAGGCGAATAATAATTGCAAACAGGTGTTATCATGGTCTATCAAAGTACTTGGCTAACAAACGTCTGTCTCAAAAAACTCTTATAAAGCTGTATAGAACACTGATAGTCCCTGTTCTCACATATGGATCAGAGGCATGGACGCTAACTAAAACAGATGAATCTGCCCTATCGATTTTTGAAAGAAAGGTGCTAAGCAAGATATTCGGAGTGGTCTGTGAGAACAGAATATGGAGGCGTAGATATAACTTTGAACTGCAGAATATCTACAAGCATACGTTTGGTGGTAAATATATTACCACTATAATTAAGCGAAACCGCCTGCAGTGGGCAGGACATGTAGCCCGGGCCCCTGAATCGAACATGATAAAAAAGATTCTAATAGCGCAACCCGTGAGAATGAGAAGATGGGGTAGACCAAAGCTGAGGTGGATGGATGGGGTAACACAAGATGCGGAGAAGATCGGAGTCGGCAACTAAAAAATGCAAGCAATGGATAGAACAGAATTGCGTAGAAAAGCTTTCTACGCAATTCTGTTCTAAAACCCTCCAAGGGCTGTAGCACCAAGATGATGATGATGATGATTGATATAAGGGAGGAAATTGTTTCCAGATATGTTCATCGCATGATAAATTCTGTGGGAATATGGGAGATTGAACTTTCAAGAGTTGTTAGCCATGGATATGTTATTTATTGGAATTCTTTTATTTAGAGTTCTGCTAGAATCGTAATTAAAGGTTGGTACTTTAACAAGTTAAAGCCATTTCAACATGAAAGAACTAACTGCTGGATAGGACTTGCAATTTAACTGTTGATCAAATATCACTCCTAGAATTTTTATTTCGTTTGTATAGAAAAGATTTTCGTTTTCAAGCATTAGGATCAGTTTATCTTCGGTATATCTTTTTGAAAATATACATTTTGTTTTATTAGAGCGAAACCTGAAATTTTATGACTTTTAATTTTGACTGTTCGAGAATCATCACGAATTTAATTCTAGTATTTTTTTTTGTTCTTCTGTCTTTTTACTACATCTTTTATTAACAGATATTCTTTTAAGTTTTTACTTTTCATCTAATGTCTGTATTTTCGTAGTCATTTTTGATGCAGTTTTTAATTTAAACCTACTTCTACTCCAGCAAAGAAATAATGAAATGAGTCATACAGATGATATCGAAAGTTATTATATAATTTAGCTGTCTTTATGAGTTTTACCAAGAAGCGTATCAGTAATAGAAAAGAACATCTACTATATGAATATAATCAACAACATTTTCGGTGTCATTTCAATTCCACCTTCTTAGTTTTTCTTGCTATTCTGTCAATATATTTTCCTTAACTCTTTACTTCTTTTGTTTGAATTTCGTTTTGCTTTGGTTCAGATTCTGGTAAAATTTTCTCGTCTCTATTGGCTGACTTAGTTCTTGTAGTTCTTGAAGTTCTTTGTTCATAGTTTCTCTCTTCTTTCTGCGATGGATTTTCTTTTCTTCCTTGTGTAGTTATTTATATTACTCCTCTGCTTGTCGGGTTCTGTACACCTGTTGCATCAATAAATATGCTCGTGTTTTTTCTCTCTCTATTTTAATCTGATATTTTTCGTTAAAACAGTCATTCGTTATTGTTCTTCTTTGTTTACTAATATTGTTCTGAAGCTATTTTCTTGTGGCATTTTAAATTAATTACTATTTAACTGGGAATAAGCCACAATTAAAGATAAAAATACGTTTATTGACGTTTCAATTTCCACTTCGGAAATCGTTCTCAAAATACAAACAGTAAATTAAACAAATTTTGTTTTTTGTTACATAGTGAAAAATTCTTCTAATAATTTAATTTTATCTGACTCATTTATATTGACAATTCAGACATACATTATGCATTTTAAAGTAGACGACTTTAAAATGATATTGCCAATATTGT